TTTGAAAAACNAAAATGTTGGAAAAATGGAGGACAGAAGATTGGTTTAATAGTTTAATGGAGGAATGGAAAAAAGAAGAAAATATACATTGTCTTTGTAGGTCTAATCTGCAGCATTTATACTGATATTTCGATCCTCATCTATCTTTGTTTCTCTATTTTCTACAGTTAGAAAATATTTTCTTATCTATGTAAAAGGTTTATACATTTCCATCTTCTTATCTAATTATTTTAAGAATTTCTCTCGTATATAACTTTTAAAGTATTTTAAAATATCCTTTCTGCATATGCTATTCTCTTTCTTGAAACATAAACAGCTAAGAGCATACAAATTACAGTCCGTTATAAATGAACTAATAACTTCTTTCACAGATACTTTTTTTGGTGCATTAAATAACTTCTTTGCTAAAATGAATTTCTTGTCTGGATCTTCAAACATTACATTAGCTAATTTAATTTGAAATTGTAACATATCGGTGATTTTTTTGTCTCTTGATAATTTAGCTATTCCCTGGTGGTATATGTTTGATGATAAAGATTCTAACAGCACACATGTATTTACTCTGGATATTCCTTGCATTTTTGCCTTAATTTAGAATATCCTAAACTAACTAAGGTATAGTTCTAAAGATCAATCATTAAATTTTGGGAGTCCAGGTGGTACTTTAGTTCTTATTTTATATCGATTGTTTCTAATTTCAAATATGTATGAATGATTAAATTCTATTATATTCGCAAAAGAATCTGGTTTAAGGTTGTATAATACTTTATCCATTTTGAACTGCTAATCCAATGTGGGTTCTGCTTGTGCTATTTTCGGTTTTCTTGCCGTTGTCGCCAATTGATTTATTAGCTGGGTATTCGGAGACTTTGATAGAGTACTGAACAAACAAATTAATAAAGAGCATGCAGAGTTTACTCTACGGTTTTGATGTATTTGTATATATTTTTAAATGCTCTGAACGAGTGATTCTTAATTATGTAATCTACTTCGTTCAGCATTCTTTAATTTCAATAGGCATTTATTTAGTTTAATAAAAATCTTTATTTTTCTTAAAAATTAATATCCTTATTGTATATTGATTATTAATTAAATGTATATTACTTGTTTCTTTGTTATGAGTTATGTTCAACAATTAATATATATTGCTGTTGAATTAACAAACATATACAATTAGTGACAATACAAATTAATTATCTAAATATTAATTACGTGAAATTTTATTGTTATATATATAAAATTTTCTTTTACAAATAAAAATTATAAATACTATGTAAATTAAATTCTATTGTATATAAAAAATCTTTTTCTTACTGGTAACAAATCTTTTTCCAGTTGATTTTTTTACTAATCTTTCGACAATTTTCCTGAATTTTTTTTTTCTTTTTTCCTTAAAAAAAAAAAAACATCTTACTTTTTTTTTTTTTTTTTTTTATTTGCGTATGCATAACCAATACGTATTTTTCATATTGCTAGTCCTTTTTATTACAAAAAAGGTTAATAAATCCTTTTATTAACCAAATATATGTTAGTCATGCAAGCATTGGATAAAAAAAAAGAAAAAAAAATAGTTATTTTTTTTGTTTTTTTTTTGTAAATTATAAAATACATAAAAGAAATATATTTATTTTTTTTCGAAAAATGTTGTATTGTTGAAAAATTAAAAAAAGAAAAGTTACTGACTAAAAAGTTTCCTGTAGTATATTTCATTTAAATTTATATAAGAAAATTTTATTTTAATAATAATAAAGTTTTCATATATCATATTATTTATATAATACAATTTTTATTCTATTGATTGCTTATGCTTGTTTATTTGAAGGCAGTTAATTTGAATTGTTAATGATTACTCATAACATTATAAATAAAATATATGTAATCAAAATAAATAATGATGATTTAAGTTTTTAATGAAAATATAGGACTTTTATTAAGGTAAATAAACTCCTATGGAAAAAAATAAATACTGAACTGATTAGACAACACAAATGCAATTTACTGGTTTGCAGTATTAAAAAAAAATTTAAGTTAATTATATTAGTATAGATAAATCTGCATAATATTTATTAATCTGTTTGTTCAATACTCTAATAAAATCATTGAATAAACAATTAGTAAATTACTAACATACATATATAATATATTTTAATTTATTTGTGTAAGAAAAAAGAAAGGATATATATAATTAAAATAAAGAACAATAAAAGCTAACGTATATGTTGAAGAATATTCTACAACAAAAAAATAATAATGATAAATATAATATTTGTTTTAAATATAAATATATAGATATAAATGTAACACAATTAAGAAGGATTTTCATATTAATGGAATGCATGCATTCGTTATACAATGTATTATATGATACATATATCTCAAGATATATTTATTTTTATATAAAGCTACTAAAGCTTCTTTATATAATTTTTATAAATGAAAGGGTAATGATTACACACATATATATTTCGTTTTATTAAAGAATAAAGAAAAAATATTGATATATTTTTAAGATTCTGTAGCATAATGTAGATAGAAGTAAATATAATAATAAAAACTAGGGGAAATTTTTTATTATCTTAGTTGCATATCATATGAATAGCATAACAAATGAATGAAAATAAAATTGATGAAAAGTAAAAATTTTCATAAAAATGATATATTACAAATTGTTTTTTATTATATTTGTAGATTTATGGATATAATACTATTGAAGATGATAAAGAACATAAAAAATTAATTTATTTTATATTATTACTATTAGATAGGTTAAAAATTGCATAAATTTTATTGAATTAAAAAAAAAAATAAAGGAAAAAAATATATATCTTAAAAATTATTGCACCTCTTTTTATTAAATCTATTTACATTTATTACATTTCACTTGATTTTTAACATAACCATCATAATTAGAATTTAAGTTAAAATTATTATATATGTAATATATATAATTTAATAAATATAATATAAATATTTTTTTAAAGATAGTTCGTAAGAAGTATTATCTATAATAGTTTTTACATTTGTTATAATTATTGTTAATATAAGTTAAAATTCACTATATCTAAAAATATTTTTTTTCATAATTGCTATTGTTGCTTTTTAACATATTTATGTAGAAACTTTTAGCAAAATATATACACATATTTTTGCTTTAATTATATATCATTGAGTTATAAAAATGATTACTTCAGTGTATTGTTTATTTTTATTGAGATTTATATATTATTATTACATAAATTATAAAAATTAAGATGATTTTTATATTTATTTAAATTTCTTTTTTTTTTTCAGATTTTTATTTCATATATTTCAAATTATATATCTGAAAAAGGTAGTTCACACCTAGCTGTGAATTTATAAATTAAAATGCATTTCATTATTTCTAAAATTTAATTTCTCCAAACAATATATTGTTATGTAAGAAATTGAATCATAATTAAAATAAATTAAAATTTATGTAAATTACATTTTTATTATTGTTTTCATTAAAACCACCATTATACCCATAAATGTAAATAAGATTATGATACCTTGTTTTTATTTTTTTTAATATTTATTGCTATATATCATAAATTTTTTATCAAAAATATTTTAGTGGTTGTATGTTAAAATTGTTTATGTTAATAATATTTTATCACTATAATGTATATCCATTATCTTAATTACATATTATATATAAACATTCTGCATTAATATTAAATCAATTTATGTATCTTACAATGTAAATGGTCATCATGCCATAGTCAGTTTTAGAATTGATACAAATTAAATTACATAATTTACTAATATAAATAGCATTAGAAAATTCTAATATTGTATAATCATGATATTTACCAATATAATATGATTATCATTACTCTTATTTTTACTTTTATTATTATTTAAAAAAAAAAAATTAAAATTTTTTATTTTTAAATTTTTTTTATATCTTTGAATCTTTAATTCATTCAGAATAAACATAATTATTTTTAAATTCATATATTAATATTAAATAAATTAATTATCTATAATTGTAGTTTATTTTTATCATTTATTTAGAAACTTCACACAATTTTTTCTATTACAGAAATAATTTCGATATTTCAGTAAAAAAACAAGCTTTATAAAAAAAGTATATCTTATTAATATTTTTAATTTCCAAAAAAAAAAAAATTTTTTTTAGTTAATATTCTTAAATTCTTTATATTTACGCTATATTATTTATTATGTTAAGTATAAAAAATAAAAAAGAATAATTATAATAAATTATTAATCATTTATATAAGCTAATGCAAAATTATACAATAATATTAAAAAAATAAAATAAAATAATCATTGCTCAAGTAATATTTTAAAAAAAAGCTCTCTTACTCTTTCTCTCTCTCTGTATATATATATATATATATGGATAAAATAAAATTATAAATGTTTAATTAAAAGTAATATTTACACATATTATATATTATATTATATTATATTTTTTATCCTTATGCAATAATAATTCAAACGAAAAATATATACATACAAGCATATAATTACAAAAAATAAAAATAAAAAACATGAAAATAAGATAAATATTAATAGTATGTAAGTAAAATAGAAGAATAGTTATGTAAATGTAAATTAAAATAAAAATAATACTATTAAAACTATTATTTTATATAAAAATATAAATATGTAAATATATAAAATAAAAGCAAAAACAATTACATATAGAAAATGAGAAATAATATGCATAGAAGATTCAAGGTGTGAAGTTAAAGCAATTTAAAATTGTAATCATTTTTTTATTCTTTATTTTTTTATTTAGTTTTATAGTATACTACAATTCACATTTTATTTTATTAAATATGAAATATATAAATCCTATGTTTATATAAAAAATTAATTTAAAAAAGCTTAAAAAAAAAAAAAAAAAAAAATATATACAAATGAAAATAAAAAATAAGATGAATTAAATTAAAAAAGAAATAAGTAGATTAAAAAGAAATAATATAAAAAAAACTAAATGTTTAAAATATTTATTTTTTATTTAATGTTAAAACTGTTCCATCATATTTACTTATTAAAGCGATGTTAGTCATATCAAGAAAAATTCCGTGATCTATAACACCAGTTGTCTAAAAAATTTAAAAAATAGATAAAATATGTGAGAAATAACAAAAGTATATATGAAAAAAAAAAAAAAAAAAAAAAAAAAAAAAAACTTAATAAAAATAAATATAAAATTATTACCATTTTTATTTTTTTGCAAGTTTCTAATAAATCTTCTATTGGATCAGTAAAAAAAAAATCGACTATGTAATTTTTGTTATCTGTCACAAAAATTTCTCCATTTTTTTCTCTTAATTTATAAGTACAATTTTGAAGTGTTGAAATTTTTAGTAAATTTTCAATAATTTTTTCATAACCAAATGTTAAAATTTCTATAGGTACAGCTCCTGTTGTACCTAATCCATTAATACACAATTTTGATTCATCTCCTATCTTAAAAAATAAAATAAATTCCTTAATTTTTTTAAAGATTGAACTAATACAAATTATTATTATTTTTTTTAATTTTTATTATTATTTTTTTCATTTTTTTCATTTTATTTTTTTTCATTTTTTTCATTTTATTTTTTTTTTTTTACAATTATAAAAACTGATGCACTATTTGCAACTAGCTTTTCACGAACAAGAGCTCCTCCTCTTCCTTTAACTAAATTTAAATTTAAATCAATTTCATCTGTTCCATCGATTGCTACATCAATTTTAGAATTTTTGTTAAGTGTAGTTAAAGGTATTCCAAAAGTTTTTGCCTAAAGGATACATTAGAAATATATAAAAATGTTAATATATGTTATTAAAAAAAAAAAAAAGAATTTTTTTTTTTATTTTTATAACCTTTATTTCTGTATCAACACTTGTAGGAATACATACAACATCTTTTATCTTCCCACTTTTTATTAAATTATCAATTCTCTCAAGTGCATAAAAAACAGTTGTTCCAGTACCAAGTCCAATAGTCATATTTGAGTGAACATAATCATCTACAGCCTTATAAGCCTATTTAAAAAGTGCATAAATATATATATATATATATATCTTTAGTCTTTTTTTTTTTTTTTTTTTTTTTTTTTTGCATAATAATAACAACAGTGAACTAATATTAAATTAATTTTAATGATTATGTAACTATTTTATAAGTTTGTTAAATACTAATATTAATATTAATATTAAAATAAAAAAAATAAAAATATAGAAAAATTTGCTATCATAAATGCTTCCTCATAAAAAAATTGGTGAATAAATAAAAATTCTAAAAAATATATTAAATGAAAATATTAAATTAATTTTTTTATAACGATATTTACGTTAAAATCATTATAGAAAGCAGATTAAATATAAATTATATGTAATTAAATGTTAAGCTTTGACAATTGAATAATAAAGAATATTAATAACCTTTTTGAATTTTTAATGTGGTGGACCAAAGTAGAGAAGAGAGTTGTATATATGCAAGATATTCAAAAATAAACATATTCCAAAATACGTATATGATTAATAAAAGGTATTGTTGACTTTTTATGAAATAATAGCTAATAAATTATAAGGAAGTAGCAAGTTCTTACTCATACTTGCTACTTAAGAAAACAGATAACTAAAAAAGAAATTTTTCTCATAGTTCTTATGTTAATTTTTTTTTCTTTTATATTTTATTTAATTTTTTTTTCATCTTTAGATTATTGAATAATGGGTTTCATTATTTTAGTATTCAATTTCATTAATCGAATTAATATTTGAAATAATGGAATATTAAATTCGAAGTTTAAAGAAAACAAATTTAAAAAAAAAAAAAAAAAAAAAAAAAAAAAATTGTTAAACCTAATGAATGAAAAACAATTTAAAGAATTACAAATATAATTGCTTCAAAAATTTTTTAAAAATTATTCTTTTTATTTTTTGCATTTTTTAATAATGCACATTTGGAATACGAGGGGAAAAAAATAATAATAAAATATTCCTTTAGGATAAAAAAGTATAATTTTTAAAATAGAATATATATATGATTTTTTAAATAAACTTTTTTTTTGAAATACCAATAGAACAAAGAATATTATGGTTACTTTTTGTTCTAAAAACTCTATTATTAGATAAATTTTTTGCATTATTCAAAATTTTATAATAATTACAAATTTAAACAATAAAAAATGTAAATTAAAAGAATCGTTTTAAGTTAAATAAGGAGAAAAAAAAATTAGTATTAAAATTTTTTTTTTTTAGAAAACTAAAAGATTAAAAAATGAAAAAGTAAAAAAAAAAAAAAAAAAAAAAAAAAAAAAAAAAAAAAAAAAAAAAAAAAAAAAAAAAAATTTTTTTTTTTTTTTTTTTTTTTTTTTTTTTAATATAAATTTTTTAACATTAATTTATTAAAAATAACTTATAAGAAATATTTAAAACTTCAAGTACTAAATTTATTTTTAATATTAAAACAAGCTAATTATATTTTATTAAATTCTTTTTTTTCAATTTGCCTAGTGTAAAATGAAAATTATATTTGATAAATGCAATAAAATATATAAACACATTTTGCATTTGTATGCATTAAGGTTTCAAATGTTATTTCTAAAATTATATTAATTATATTAATATATATATTTTAATTGAAAAATTGAGATATAAAACAAGGAAAAGGATGTTAGAAAAAAAAAAAAAAAAAAAAAAAAAAAATTTTAACATAAATCATAACAAAGAAGCAAATTATTTACACTTAATTAATAGTCAATATTCAATATTAAATAAGGATTTAAATTTTTA